TCCTTTGCAGAAGATGCTGAGAAGAAGTGGAATGGAGTTCTCAGGAGGGTGGGCCTGGGCTCAGACAGACCTGGGTACAATGGTGGCAGCTGGCACTTGCTGAGCCTTGCCATGGGAGTAACCCCCCAGGACTAACTCACGTAGCCCTTGCAGTCATCTTGTGGAGTAGGTGTCCTCATTGTCCCCGAATTCCAGTTGAGGATCGGGTACCAGGGACCATCCTGTGGAGTTAGCTTGCAAAGGTTATCGCGCACAGCAGCTTCGGTGCGCACAGCAGGCTTCCGGCCCGGGCAGCCGCCTGCAGGCCCTTGCGCCCCGGCGACTCCTCGTCGCTGTCCTGTGCTTGCCGCACGCCCTCCTTGGAGGCCTCAGAGGTCCGTTTCCTTGTGTATAAAAAGTGGAGAGATTGCTGCTTCCTTCCAGCTCTGTTGTAGGCTGTAGGGAGGAAACACGTTGACAGTGGTGTCTGGCACTTAGTAAGTGTTCAGTAAACTTTGCGGAAAAAAGTCAGGCTCCATCCTAGAAGTAATTTGTTTTTTATTGCCTTTTTTTTTTCTCCCATAAATAATTACTTTCCTGTTTCTGGAGAAGAAACCCTAGGAAAGGGTGGATGAAGTAGAAGGCAGGCTGCTGGGTTCTAGGCCCCTTTGCCTGAGAGGAACCCACGTCCTCGCTGCTGGGAGCCGGGATTTCGTCTTTCCCCTGTATCTGGGGAACCACAGACCACAGGCTCTGAAATTCGGACATCTTTCTCCTGTTTTCTCTGCCTTCTGTGCTTTTCAAGCCACACTGGCAGGCTTGTGAGGAAGGTCACAGGTGAGCTGTCCCTCTGTGCATCAAGGTTGGCGCATCTCTGATACCTTGGTTCTTTTCACTCTCACGTTTTGGAGAAGATGGTGCTCCCAGGCCTCATGAACTGGCCCCATGAGAAGCAGTCACTGTGCCTGGTCTCAGGCATCCTTTGCTTCTAGCATCCAGCACCATGTCTGACGCAGAGCGGGTTTTCAGTCAATGGTGTGTTTCAGTGAATTAACTCCTGGGGTCCCTATTCTCTGTCAGTCACTCTCCTTTTTCGGAGGGAAGCTGCTCCCCAGTTCCCTCTGGAGACTGTGCAACAAGACAGGGGGTGGAAAATCCCTCTCTCTCGGTTCAGCTAAGGTCAGGGTGAGTTTCTCAGAAGAACCCTTTCCTTGTACACCAGTGCAGGCAGAATAAACACAGGGTATAGGAATAGAGCGTAGGTTTTGCAATATGACTCAGCCGCAGTCTCTGGGTGGTTCGGCCAGCTCTGCTCTCCCTCCCCCGCTCGCTCTCTGGTTCGGTTCTCAGGTTACCAGCCTGACGTGGGTTTGGGTTGGCAGGGTCTCATGGTCTGTGGGATTCTCTGATATCCCTAGGACTGCCTGCTTCCTGATACTGTGCCCTTGATGGGAACTCACTCCCACAATGCCTTCTCGGCTTCAAGCCAGATGGTGGTAAACTTGGAGGTGGTTATTGTTAATTAAAAAAAATTTTTTAATGCTTTTCAGTTGGATTGCATTCACAGAGTACACAAATTTTAAGGATATAATGAGACATTCAGTGAAGCATCACCTCCCCTGTACCCCAGAAACTCAGCTCCCATCCCCCCCAAAGATAACTGTTACAAGAGTAGTTCATTGGCTCTTCTTCCAGAGCATCTCTATGCATATGCGAGGAATTTTCATGCAGAAGGAGCTGGGGATACTCGACACTGTACTGAGCTCCCCAGACTGGCTCTGACGAGGTGGCATGTGGCCTGCGGGACACTGTGTCCTCTCCTCGGGGGAAGAAGTTTGCTCAGGTGTCTGTTGTCCTACTTGATTTCCAGCTTCGACCTTTCTAACGTCTTACTTGGGGAGAGGGAGAGGAGGACACAAAACCCAGTGCATTTATATATCATTTCGAAAATGCATGTGTGTTTTGTGTTTAAAACTCAAGGTACTGTGTATTTCAGTTCAAAGGGCTTTACTGGAAACCCAATCATATCACCGTTACAGAACAGCGAGTTAGAGCAGATGTGATAAATGAATTTGGTATTGTGTAAATAAAAATAAGTATTCTTTTTCTCTTCCCTTTTCACAAGGTGGCATATTATACATGCTGTTCTGCATCTTGCTTTCTTAACTTAATGCCATCTAGATCTTTCCATATAATTTCTTACAGCACTTCTTTGTTCTTTTTTTTTTTCACAGTTGCATAGAATTCCATGGTGTGTATGAACCATAATTTTTTTTATGAGCGCTTTATCAGTGCACTCTTATGTTGATTCCTATATTTTGCTGCAATGGAAACTCTACACATATATGGAGTGACCTTGTCTAACGCATGAGAAATGAGACGGGATTTTGTAAGGGACAGAGGCACCCACTGTCATTGGCCCCCAGGACAATAGAACGTTGACTTAAAGGATCAGGTGGGGTCTGTCCATTCTGATGATTCTGTATAACGATACCTAGTGGAGAGGGCTTTAGAACTCGGGATCTGATAAAAGGACAAATGTGTGGTTCTCTTACCATCCTCGGTTAGAGTCTGTTACGTTTAAAGTGTACACAGCAGATTCCCACACCTGTGCCTGTCCCTCCTCCCTGAAGGCTTGAGGATGGCCCTTATCCGGGGGTGGAAGCATCCTTGTTTTGCCTCTTATTCTCATGCATCACCATCTCGGCGCCCTTTATGGCCGCTGCTGCTTGAGTCCTTTCTTCTATGCCCTTGTCTTTGCAGTAGCGTCAAGCTCATTCGTAGCCTCTTATCCTGTATCAGCTGTTTGTCCCCTCAGGCTTCGTCTTCCTGTAACGCTCTGCGGAATTCTGGCTGTGGCTCGCTGCAGCCAGGGCCGTAATGTAAGGATGCCGTGCCTTTCCCCACATTGTGGGCTGCGGCCTTTCTGGCTCCCTGACAGGCAGGGGAGGAGACCCATTGGATTCCTCTGTTGGGTGACGTCAGGATGCTCGCCGAGTACCACTGAGAAATGCCCAGGGGCAAGAATCACCTGTTTAGTGATGGCCAGCCCTGATGAATGGTTGTTCCACTTGCCTAGGTGTCTCCTCCGCCTTGCTCCGGGCTGGTTTCCATGGTTCTGGACCTTGCAGGCCTAGCCTTACCCCGACCTCTATCTCTCTTTTACCTGGAGCAACTTCATGAGCACAGTGGCTTCTCAGCATGGGTTCCTTGGGGCACCTGTTCCATAGCTTGTTAGTTGGTCTCAGATCTGTGTCAGTCCCTCAGCTTTGTGAGTACCCAAGATATGCTTGGGAAACTTTGTTCGAAATAGCCCATCGTTAGGACTCGTTTTTCCACTTTTTAATGAAGCTTGGTTTCTTCACCTATGGTTTGAGACCTCCCAGCAGCCCTGGAGACTTTGGAAGGGGGTGTTTCTCCCTCCGGCAGTAGAAACAGCCTCCCACCTCTTCCCGTTTCAAAGCCTGCATCCAGGGCTGCCCGCTGGCTTTCTGTTTCCTGTCTGGAGGCGCCTCTGCCCTTGAAGAGCAGCGATGACCACCTGCTCTTGGTCCAGTGACTGGTGAAGGCTTCCTCGTCTCCGTCAGACCTGCCCCCATCCAGGAGAACCCCGGGGCTGGTTGACGGGGTGGCCTTCCGGGAGCCCACGATTAAAGTGCATCTCGAAGTGCGGTGTCCACCACAGACCCGTGTTCTGTGGCGGGAACAGGAAGAGATTTTCCTTGTGGACACCTGTCTGCAGCTTTCCAGGGCTCTTTCTGAACAGAAATTCAGCTCATGCTGCCTCTCCTTCTGTTTCACTTCTATCCTGCCTGTGTTCTGCACATGATGACATCTCACTGTAACTTCCTGATTATCCTAGAGGGATGTGTGGGAATGCGTTTTTGGGGAGTTAATACCCAGTAGGTGTCGCCAGAAGCTTTAGGGTGTGCCCCTTAATGACCCTGCTGGTGGGATGAGTAAAGGAAATGTCTGAAGCCTGGAGACTGTGCTCCCTGGGGCCTCATTAGCTCTGGGAGCCAGTTAGTCTTGTTTTTCCTTCTCGCCTTGTTGGGATCAAATTAAAGCAAGAACAGTGGGGACGGTCCCATGGTTTGTCCCAGGGAGGAGGAGGTCTGGTGCCAGACTTCTATTTTTTAATTTTGTTTGTATTTTTTAGCACTTAAGACTCTTTGAACTTGCCTTGTGAGTGTGTTTATCAACATGCTGTCTCTCCACACCCCTCCCCCGAGAACAGAAGCCCCAGGAGAGCAGAGACCTCACCCGTCTCATTCACTTCTGTATCCCTGGTGCCAGAACAGTCTCCAGCACATAAAGGGCAGGTCGCTAACTGTTTGTTATCTGGATAAATGAAACCTATGTGTTCTCCCCGCTGTGGTCCCTCTGAAGGATTGCCTCCGTCCCTCCCACCCAAACTGTGGCACCTGGGGAACGTCTCTGATGGATTTGCAGGAGAGGCAGGGTGGAGTTATGGGACAAGATGTTGAATTTGAGGAAGGTCTGGGTTCGAATCTTAACTCTACCACTGACTTATTTTGGGGGCCTCTCTGAGCCTCAGTTTCCTTATCTGTATGGGAGGGATAATAATTGCCACCCCCCCCCCTCACTTTACAATCCTTGGTTGAAAAATGTAAGAAAAATGCATTTTAGACCATTATGTCTACAAATGGGGAGGATTACGAAACTGTGGTCTGCCCGTTCCTTGCTTTTTCAGTTTCACATGGAGCCCTGTGCCCTGGCCTGCCCCCACCACCTCTGTCAGAGTTAGAGTCCCCTGTGCGCCCTCTTGAGATGGTTGTCCTTGTGGCGTGAACCAAGGAATGGGTCTCCCTCTTGGATTTCCATCACCCCGATTCCCTAATAACCCCGGGGGTGTTACTAGGGCCTAGGAAAGCACACTCCCTTCGCAGGCCTGGCCAGTCCCTGAGCCCTTGGTGAGCGCTCCATCCTCAGGTGCCTGTGGACTGGACTCCAGGAGCTGGACCATGAAGGGCTGTGTGACGGTGTTTCTCTCTCCCCAGGCAGCTGCTGAAGAGTGCACTGGGATCCTTCATTACAGACTATTTCCAGGTAAGCGGTGTGGCTGTGAGCACCGTCATTGTTGGGTGTGGGTGCGTGGACCTAACGGGGTGGTCGGTAGTGCATACCTGGCATTCCTTCAACATCCCAGACGCTGTATCTCGAGGCACACTGTGCGCCAGGCACCGCGGGCAGCAGCTGCGAGCAGCGCGAGGCGGGTGTGGTCCCTTCTCTCACGAGATGATAGTCTCGGGCAGCAGGTCTCAGGACCCCTTTAGGTTCTTAAAAATGATCACTTATTTGGGTTATCTCTATCTTCGTCATATTAGAAATTAAACCTGAGAAACTTTAAAATATGCCTTAATTCATGTAAGTAATAAACCTATGTTACATGTTAGTGTAAACAGCATTTTTATGAAAAATAACTTTTTCGGATAAAACAATAGAAAATGGCGTTGTTTTATATGTTTGCAAATCTCTGCAGTGTCTGGCTTCGCAGGAGGTAGCTGGGTCCTCAGGTCTGCTTCACAGCCAGCCTCCTGCGATCTTGCACGTCTTTGGAGAAATCCGTGCTACGCTCACGGAGGAGGCAAGGAGAAAGGCAAACAGCAGCTGAGTGTTATGGGGGAAATAATTTTGACCGTGTGGAAAAGGTCCGGGGGGTCCCCCAGGGGACCCGACTCACGTGTTGGGAACCACTGCTCTGGTGACATTCCCTCCCCCGTGTATGGTGTCTAATTGGGGGTAGTTAGACCCTGTAGCCACATTATTTCTTGTCACTCCGCCTCTTGGTCTGTTCTGTTAAAGATAGAAATGGATCACACGCTCTGACGTCCCTTCTGCCTGAACAGCAGTTCCATGGGCTGATGAGCTCAAGTTCCAGATTCAGTCAGGATGGTTGCTAGTCCCCTGGCGTGAGCTGCCTTCCTGCTCTAACCAAAGGCGCGTGGGGAGGCGTATGTGGCGAGTAACTGGGTGACCCTTCAGTGAGATAAGAGCGCTCACTTTTCACTTATTAGCTGAGTGGTCTTGGGCAAGCTGCTTTCTCTCTCTGTGCCTCCATTTCCCCATCTATAAAATGGGAATAAAAATATGACCTACCTGATAGGTCATTTTATGGAGTACATGCGATAACACATGTAAAGCATTCGGCATGTTGTACGTGTGTGTAGGGGCAGCATAGCATAGAGGAGTGGTCAAGAACACCGCCCTTAGAGCCAGACCACCTGGGTCAACGCCCAACATAGCCACATGCTAGCTGTGTGACCTTGAGCAAGCTGCTTTACCTCTCTGTGTTTTAGTTTCCCGTTCTATAAAATAGGGTTAACAGGACCTAACCTTGCAGTGTTATTGTGAGGACTAAATAAATTATTATTTATAATAATAGTAAACAGTGACTAGCACAGAGTGAGACAGAGTAGTAAGTGTTCATGAAATTTGTATAGATGCGAATTTGTTATTCTGAAGTGTAATCCATCCCTTTTAATGGGAAAGGAACATAAATATATTTCCCATCTTGGTTTCAGGTTGGCGATATATTCTGTATCTGAAGAGAACATACTTTTAAGACAGTTTAAAGAGTTTTTAGGTTTTAAAAACAACACAGGTATCCTTTTCATTTCTTTTCTTTCCAAGATTCAGGAAGCTTAAACTTTTATGTGCACTTTTAAAGAATGACCAGTCAGTCGTTTAAAACACACACACACTGAGTGGAAAGCAACTACTCTAAATCTGGACACGGGAAGACCCCACAGAAGCCTGGACTTCCGTTGGGTCAGTGGCTTGGCTGCTTGAGACAAACATAAGGACTAAGAAAGAGATAATCAGTCACAAATGTGCATCATTTCAGTTGCCCTTGACTCAAAGGGCATTCTTGTCCACACTCTCGTCTCTTGCTGTCTCTACTCATTGATTTTTAAATCGAACTCCCGAGAAGTGGTTTTTCAGTTGGTCTGGAGAAATGGGCCGGCTGCCTTCCCTGTTGACACTTAAAATAGACAGGCTGTGGTGTGGTTTCAATCAGGTTTGAAATGTCAGCTGTCTTTCAGTGCTGGGGGCTACCCCCAGGATGGGTGGGGAAGGGCTTTTGGGCGGGGACTTATTTATCTGGGAAGCCCTGAGGTTTGCAGGGGTGGTTAATGCTGTTTACCAAGGATGCCAGACACTTAGCAGCTAATAACCACACATCATTTTCTATTGAGAGCGTAAGCAGAGAAACCGCTTTGCGAATACTGAGTCTCTTTCTGGGGGCGTGGGGTAGGAACTGGTTTTCAGTTTTGAATCTGGGTTTTTCCTTAGTTTAAGGAGCTAGGCTGGAGAGAAGGCTATCCTAGACACTATTTATTTAAATGTAGGTTTTAAGTTTCCTGAGGGCGCAGAGCCTTTGTTTTTAATGTGTTTGGTTTCCCAGTCCCTAGAAAGGACCTGGCATGTGATAGATGCTCCATAAACATTCTTGGGAGGGAGGGAGGCATTGTTCACGCCAGACAGTGAGGGAGTCTAGGCGGTGCGTCAGCGGCGTTACGAAGTGTTAGCCTGGTGGCTAGGAAGTGTCCTCTTCTCTATTTTCAGTGCTTCTGATTGTGCCAGGGAGAGTCTGCCTTTGCACCAGTGTGTGTCTTTTACACTTCTCCAAGCACAAGTCTGACCCAGTTCCACTGTGTGGGTTCTCCCCACACTAAGCAATTCTCCAACACCAGCTGGGTGTCCTACCATTGAGCTCACTGCTGACACTGTGTACCTGGAGGTAGTGTCAGATGCTACAGGTCAAGGGCTCAGTCCCACAAGACTGCGCCGCACAACTTCAGACCCCATTGACAAGTCCGGGTTGTCACCTGAGCTTCGGACCAACTGGCTATAGATTGGAGTTTCCCATGACCCTCTCCTTGGGTTTGACTAATTTGCTGGCCCAGCTCACAGAACTCAGAGAAACACTTTACTTACTAGATGACCAGTTTATTATAAAAGCATGTGACTCAGGAACAGCCAGGGGGAGGAGATGCACAGGGCGAGGTCTGGGGAAAGGGCGCAGAGCCTCTGTTCCCTCTTCAGGGTGACGCTCTCCGCAATCTCCACGTGTTCGCCAACCCAGAAGCTCTCCAGACATTGTCCTTTTCGGGTTTTTATGGAGGCTTCATTACATGGCACGATTGATCAAATCATTGGCCGTTGGTGGTTGGACTCCATCTCCAGCCCTCCTCCCCTCCCCAAGGTCAGAAGTGGGGTCACAAGTGGGGACTGAAATTTCCAACCCTCTAGTCACATGGTTGGCTCCATGGGCAACCAACTCCCATCCTTAGGTGCTTTCCTAAAGTCACATCATTGTCATAACAAAAGACACCTTTGTCATTCTCATCACAGGGTATTCCAAGGGCATTAAGGAGCTCTCTACCAGGAACAGTCTGGCTCTAAGACCAAATACCCATTTGTTGTCATAAATTACAATATGGCACCGTGACATGGTGATCTCCCTCGTTTAAGGGGGAGAGCAGGCCTCTCACTTGCTTCTGTCTAATCAGGATTTCATGACACCCTTTGCATTGGGTTGATTGTTGCGTTACGTTCGATTTATGGTAAATGATGCTCTAGTTTCCCTTTTAGACATATGTATGTTTTGTTTTTTTGGGGGGAAGAGTAGCCCTAAGCTAACATCTGCTGTCAATCCTCCTCTATTTTTTTTTTAAAGATTGGCACCTGAGCTAACAACTATTGCCAATCTTTTTTTTTTTTTTCTGCTTTTTTGTTTTCTCCCCAAATTCCCCCAGTACATAGTTGTATGTTTTAGTTGTGAGTCCTTCTAGTTGTGGCATGTGGGACGCTGCCTCAAGGTGGCCTGATGAGTGGTGCATGTCCACGCCCAGGATCCGAACCAGTGAAACCCTGGGCTGCTGAAGCAGAGTGCACGAACTTAACCACTCAGCCACGGGGCCAGCCCCTGTCCTCCTCTTTTTCCTGAGCTAACATCCGTGCCCATCTTCCTCTACTTTATACGTGGGTTGCCACCTCAGCATGGCCTGATGAGCGGTGCCGTTTCCACACCCAGGATCTGAACTGGCGAACCCTGGGCCGCCGGAATCGGAGCGTGGGAACTTAACCACTGCACCACCTGGCTGGCGCCAACATATTTATGTTTTTAAAAAGTGGATTGATTTCAGAACAATAGTAGGAGAGAGTAATAGCGTAGGTGGCCCTGGCCGTGGCCACATAGTGAAGGTGGTTCAAGAGGAACTCAGGTTTGGAAAGCCCCGTGCTGGCACTGCTTGAAAGTGGGCTGGTTCCGGAGCCGTGCAAAGACGAGCTCTTCACAGGAGGAGGGCAATCCAGGAGGGAAGGCCACAGGAGGTGACCCTGGCCATCACACTCAGCTGGCAGAGGGGGTTCAAGAGGGGAAGGCAGAATGAGCTCCAGAAATTACCTTCCTTCAGAAGTAAGGAGCAGAGCCCGGGGGCAGATGAGACCAGAGGCTGCGGGTGAGGTGTCGGGGAAGGTGACGAACGGGTTCCTGGGTGCCAGCCCCTCAGTGTGGAGGGAGACCGAAGGCCGCCTCTGGACTGCCCGCATTCAGCAGTGAAGTCGGCCTCCTCCCCGACTCCCAGCCTGCTTCCTCCCGCCACTTGTGAAGCTGTCTCTGTGGCTCTGCTTTTGGAAGTAAATGTTTTCATTTTGCAGCTTTAAAGAAAGAATGTCTCAGTGAAGAATAGTGAAAATGACCCTAGGGGAGGGCAGAGGGAGGGCCAGGGCTTATCTTGCATCCGCACACAGAGAAGTCAGCCTTTGATCCGCAGAAGCATAGGTGAATTTCCATCAGACACTGGCCGGAAAAATCTTTGACATTTCCAGTATTGATTTCTCATTTTCCTCTGTCTGTTTTGAATTGCGCCCAGAAGGAAAATTGGGGTCTCCGAGAGGAGCTCTGTAGCTTAGTGACAGCTCCAAGGGGTAATTGGTTCGCTGTAACTTTGGAGACTGACGCTGTGAAGTGCTCTGCCTTTTTCTCTCTCCTAATGAGGCACCTTGGTGGTTCAGGGCTTGGGGCTGGGAGGGGTTGCAAA